AAAAAAAGTAGGATTTTCTCCTTTAATCCACTTTTTGCATCGTTATATCAGCCTTAGTATTTAAAGCAATCCACCAAAACAGAAGAGCCATAATAAACTCAAGTATTGCGGTTTGTTTTTTGTCGTTTTATTGGAGGGAACAAGTTTTATATGCAATCACTCGTCCGATAGTACCTGACAGAGGTCTCCTATGAAAAATCCAATTTGGTACGCATCGAACAGCGAAATTCAACTACTGCTCAAAGCTCGTGGAAATATTTTCATTGGTATTTCTTAGGCCATAATGAAAATCGTGTATCATATGGAAAATTTGATTTCTGATGTTCGCTAAAGGCTATGCAATTGCATTAAGATTGCGAATGGATAAGTATGAAGATAGCAAATAAAACGAAAACGAAAGCTTTTTATTGTATGGCTGAGTTCAAAAGGTGATAAGCAAAAACGTTTACCTGCTTGAATTAAACTTCGTAGAATAGCTCTTTTTATAAGAAGACAAGGCAGGTCTTTACATGATTTATCCATTAAACCGGACTTTAAGTAGCTAATATACTCGATGTTTCTAAGAGAAGGCATCAGCGAATTCCATTCTTTATCAACCTGGATTAGTTCGTCATCAGCTACATTCAGGTCATCGCAGAGATACTTCAGACTGCTCCCATCTGACCCTATTTTGTCTTCTTTATTTTCACTTTCCCCTTTACGCATACTTTCCTCGTTGTAAGAGGATAAATCGTTTTGTTTATCTATTTTGCCTCGAGAGAATCCAAGAATAGGCTCATTTAACTGCTTGTCTACGGGAGCCGCATTCGTTGTCGTCCAATTTGAAACGTTATCAACATTTTGTGACACCTGACTGCAGACAGGAAACAATCGTTCTTCGTCCATTGCCTCATTCGACAATGTATCTTTACTGTCGCTAACTTCAATCGCGTTAGGCGGTTGGTCGGCTGTTATCGTCATCACAGGCACCAGGTTGCCGAGCAGGCTTGTAGCAAGGGTCTGCACAGAGAAAAAGCTATCTTCAAAGCAACATTTGGACTCATTCTGCTGCTTTGGCTGATGGTGCGCAAGCTGATCTGTAATGTGATGCTTTTCAGATTCATTTTCGGAATATGGGGTTGCTGCCAGCCGAGCTTGCCAACGGGCAATATCAACCATCAGACTGGTGTAGGTATATGGATAGTGATAGGCCATGTAGCAGATATCGCCGTGATGCATAAAGGAGATTCGGAATGTTGCTGTGTAATACGAACGTGCGGCTGACACACTTCCAGAGCCACTGACGGGATTCCGAACTGTTCCGGATACGTTCGTGCCATTCTTAATATTGCCAAAGGCGGAAGCGTCAGATGCAGGGTCACAAGTCGCACTGATGTCAGGCCCAGTACCGATAATCTGTTTAGATTTAGGGAGACTAGTTGAGGTGGGTAGCACAACGTTAGAACAAAGACCTGGGTTCACTGCAGAAGGCGTTGATCCATTCGGCTGCCCCAAGGAATTGGCAGTATCTGGTATATGAGAAATTTGATTTTTTTAAATTGAATAACATAGGAATTTTTGCTTAAACTACAAAACTGATTGAAATGCATTAGAAAGTAGAACCGATAGCGTATTACAAGTTAGGTAGGCAAGGATAAGCAATTATTTGTCAATCAACGTCGAATAAAATGTCACCTCTGCTTGATCATGGAGCTATCGATAATTAAAGGAAGAAACAAAATGAATTGATCGCACGGAGCTAGCCATGAGCTCAATTGAACCAGATTGAAGATTGAAATGGAATCAAACTCAGCTCAAGTATGTCGTGAATCGAAGATATGCACCATTAGTGACAGCAATGTAATTATACATCGAACCTCATGGGAAATATTCCTTAATATGTCAATATTACTTATCGTGTGTAAGTAACGTAGTCGATTTTTATAGCAAAAATACGTTTGCTTCATCGATAATCCCACCAAAGAATGTGATATGGTAAAAGGCCGGGCCTTCTTTAAAATTGACATCTGCCCCGTGACCAAAGGACACGTGTGTCAATGTGACCGAATGGTTAACGTGTTAAGCTCACATGCTGCACTTTCACGGTTCGACTTCCGCTGAGGATGTTGATAAGACCTATGAGAGGTCGAAACTGCAGTACATAATGGATGGGAACAACTTTTGGGAAAGTAAGGCTATGTGAAATTCAATGAATACGCT